CCATTTGACACATCACCATGCTGTACCCTGATCAGGGGCTATACCAAATAAATCACCGCTTACTCGTCAAACGGGGCGCATCCTCTCTCCTTCAAGAACTACGCCGTGCCCTCTTTTCCAACTGTTTCTTTTGACCGGGAAATTCCCTTCATATGTATTACTCTCAGTGCTGTCCTGAAAAGTTGAAATGAGCCTGCTGAGCATGCATCTTGAAAGAGACCCACACGCCATCTTTTTTCTATTGATTCTAATGACCTTTCTCCGTTCACCACGGATATCTCTCCGCTACCTGCGGAATGTCCATCTGTTTCATGCAGCATGTGCCATGACAACCTCCAACCGACAAGCCTACACGACATGTGTTGCGTGCGTGTGGTCATGGTGCGAGTTCGTGGGCCACACGTGTGCTGCCGGCTGGGTCATCGCTGGTGTACGGCTGTTACAACGGAGTAAGTCTGTGCCTGGGCACAAATCTTCAATGATAACCCGACCCAAGTACATAGCTAGGACTATACGAGCAACCATTAAGTCCTGACTAAGTAGAAGGGGGACCGTTCAGAAAGTTCAGAGCTGAAGAGTTGAGAAAGTTCGTGTTCATCTGGTGAATCTGCACGCCTGCCTACCCCACCTGATAAACATTACAGCAAACCCAAAGCACCCAAAAACAAAACAACAAAGTAATTATACTACTTTGGCGGACGGCTTCCAAGCGCGAATGTTTATCACTATGGCATATGACAATGCTAGCACTTGAGCAACTCCTATAAAATGTGAAACATAAAAAACAGATATGTTAAAAATGACCTAGTATTGAAACAACAAACAGCACGGGTAAAATCGAGTACACTTTACGGCGGCATACGAAGCGAACCATCAAGACGGATCACCTCTCCATTCAAATAGCGATTCTGGATGATATGTTGCACCAGTGCACCAAACTCTTCAGGACTTCCCATTCGCGATGGATTGGGGACCAACTGGGAAAGGAATGTTGCGCACCTGGAAAATATCAACTAGGTGGGTTAATTGCTTCTGCTACATCAAAGCTATTAGATTGGTGGTGATTTTCTCATGTTATGTAATTGGCACCATTCCATCTGTCCTGTCCAGAAATCTCGAAAACTCCTGGATGCAGGCGCAATACCCACGTTACTACGACGAATGGCTAGTATTTCCTATCCAGCTGACTTGACAGCAAACCCACATTACAGGCAAACTGCACAGTCACCTCGTTGGATCCTAGTCCTTTCCATGTGTAAGGTTAATGGATCGGCAGCTGCAATAGCGTGAACGTTCTCCGGTCAGAAGTGCACGGGGGCGGAGCTGAGGGTATCAATACCCGGGTGCCGTTTCACACTGTCCGCACCGCAGCACGACCAGCCATACGCTTAACTATAACCAACGCGCTAATTTTCTGCGCAATCACGCTTCTGACTGTTCTCTCCATCCAACTGTGTATTCACTGCGGGATCTTACACTCGAAATCCCTGAAATCGAGTAGGCGTGGCCGCATGAAGGAGTTTATGCTTCTGTTGGGATATTTTCATCTTGACACAATTGTTGTCGTCTCTGTCCAACACAGAACAAGATGACAGTTGTCCCAGACTGGAATATTCCACGAGTAACCAATTCCGTGCCATGTTCAAATGCCACGCCTACTCTGGCTCAGGGATTAGGAGAGTAGTTATAGCGCAAGGAGACCATACTCGGGTGTCAATACCCTCCTGAATTGCTCCCAAGTACTTTGAGCGAAAATGGGCACTCTGCGAACCCATCACTTCGCAAAAGGACCATGCTCGGAGGTAAGCGTACAGCTCATCGATTAAATGTCGATGTCGCTCTGCGATGTCGATTGAATCGATAAGTTCCTGGTGCGCAAGACGCATACGTAACGTTACTCACAAGGCCACCACATGGGTACGAGTTCTGTATCCCAATTTTCGAGGAGCTCCAGCCTTCATGAAAAAATTCACGTTATCCCAGACAAATCCATTTGCACATTGAGAAACCACAACCGACCTCTGAAGTCGCTAAGTAAGGCAACTTCTCTATATCTCTATAGCCTAACTTTCATGTGTTCAGTGGCATCAAGGCTTCATACAGCCTCCTTCGAATGAAAATGCATGACAAAACAGCCTTCTTCGGTTGGTGAGCGGTTTCAGAGCCCATTGAACCAGACTCGTGAACCATTGTCGTACACCAGTTCTCTTCCAACGAGAATGCTCTTAATTGGATAGAAGGTCAGCTATCAGACAACTACCACGCATTTGTTGCTATGCAATCGTTGAATAGTGAAGATGTATCCTTTACGGGAACGTGATCACTTCATTTGCAGACAGTGAACTACTTCAAGTGAAACAGAGCACCCTGTCGTACTGTGCGAGCCTCCTCTTCATCGGCACGGCCTCTACTACGACACCAAAAATGGAGGTAAGCGCTTATCCACTGATCACTGGACGCGAAACTAAGCCCGAAAAAAACGGACACGGATAACCGTCTGGGCGACTGCGAGACTCCTTCATCAGAGCTTTAGAGGTTTCTTTTTCCAATCATTTGTTTTTCATTGTTTCTAATTGCACGAAGAAAATAAATGACTTCGTGTGGCTTGAGTGAGAAGAGTCCAACTGACTCTGATTCGCTCCAATGGCGTATGCAGACACTGCTGGATTCCATCCGCCATAGCTCGAATCCACAGGAGAAACTCAATGATCAGCTGGTGGATTGGAACGTGCTATTTATACAGCTGCTATTAGCTGATTAATTTGATAAGTTAGCTTTTTGCGAGTTCCGGACCACTCTTGCATATTGCATGGTTTTCTTATCGATTCATCCTTGACAGTATTTGCAACCTTTCAGCCGCGTCGAGCTTACACAATGCCCTTCAGTTCACTTTTGTATTCCCCTACCCATTCCATAACCAAATTGTAGGAAAAAAATTAGATGAAACGGGGGACAATGTATCTCGATCTTCAACAGATTTTGCTCAGGGCCATATTCAAAAGTCCAGCGAAGCGAACGACAGATATTTTTCAATAATACCTGTCGCTATGCTTCGCGCTTGGTTCCATGCTTCTCTCTTCACATATGGACATGTTATTTTATTTGGCTAGTAGGCTTTTCGAAGTTCTTGAAGAGGAAGTGGTGCATTCGGCACCAAATAGTATTCAGTAAAGCCTATACAGGTCACCTTATGAAGACCTGCAAATTTTCGTAACCAAAGCGGCTCGCTTCATACCATTTTGCAGCTTCTAAAGAGTTCAAGATCTCAGTGGGAGATCTCAGTTATTTCTAGTTCTAATGCTTTCTGATGCTTAAGGGTGGAGCAGTTTGTGAACATGAGGCGCTGTTCGGCTTGATAGTGGCACTTTGCGCTTTCGATAGTTCCTTTTGCTAGTTCTTGTTGAATAACCGGTCTCATTTTGGTGAGATTGTTGTCAACATGAAGTAGCAAACGTAACTAGCGAAAGTGCAAAATGCCTCGTTCAAAGCGAACAGCGCGAAAAGTTTATGAAGTTCTCTAGCCAAAAACATCAAAAAAAAATTATAACAGTGGCTAGATTCACACTTGTATTTTAAAAATTCTGCTTCGAACGGTTTTTCAATGCTTTCCGATGTTCTTTTTTATTTGTTTTTTACTTGCAGTTCCCAGGTTTTTCACCTACAGGTAAAAAATTGGATAATTCGAAGTTAAGATCACAAACCTTTTCCGGAAGCCCAGAAAGCAGTGGGGTGTCAAAAAGACCGGGTGCGATAGCCATAAAACGAATTCCATCGTCGGCAAAATCTCTAGCAAGTGGGAGGGTCATTCCGACAATCGCACCTTTTGATGCCGAATAAGCTGACTGGAATGGAAAACTACAGTCGATAACTATCAAATGACTGCCAACAAAAGTGTTCGAACTTGGCCAGTTTGTCCATCGAAAGCGGCAACAGATGCAGTGCTCACAACTACGCCGCGTTGGCCAGCTTCGTCTTTCGCGTTTTCACCCATCAATGCCACTCCATGGCGTATTACATTGAATGTTCCCATGACATTCACCTGAAAATTAGGGATTAAATAGTTACAGCTCCACAGGCTGAAGTCCTGATTATTTGTTACCTCAATGGTCTTTCGAATCTTCTCCGGTTCACACATTTTCTTTTTGCTAACGCTGTACAATTTAAATGCCATTGCAACACCGGCGCAAGTTCACCACGGCATCACATCGACCGAACTTGTCTTTCACTTGGTCGAAAGCTGCTTGAACCTCTGAATCGGCTGTGACCTGAAAAGGCGTAGAAAATCAGCAATTAACAGGGAAGTTGCACAAAAATGTAGCATGTAAATCAAGGAAGACCGTGACGACCAAGACAGGTCCTGTCGTTGGAGAAAATTTTTTCATAATAAAGCCTCCCAAAGTGTCCTCCTCTGGTACTATCACCCTTCCCATCATCCTACCATCTTTCTAAATCTTCCCAACTCCCTAGCATTCTTCGAATTCCTCCACTTTCTCCCGCTTTCCTCCATCGAGCAGTGTGTGGGTGAGGGGAGGAGGGAGGGATGCATGCAACTCACTTGAACCAGAAAAACCGAGACGACAAAAGACGACAACCGAGAACAAAATCATTCTCAGTGAAGTACGACCCCTCCCCTCCAGCGGCCGAATACGACCTCCTCGCTGGGAATCCTCAGCGTACGACTGCCCCGATGAAGGCACAGTCGCCATAAGGGTAGTTGATTAGGCAGTCAAAGATGCAGACGGGGCTGCGGCGCGTTACGACCGCTGCGATCAGCTGATTCCAGCCTGGTTTGGCCACGCGTCTGCAACCCTTCGACGACAGCCTAATCAACTTCCCGGTTGACGACTGTACTCTCTGTCAGCCCATGCTTTTCGAAAGCTGAATCGAGCACCATGTAGTGATTATCCCTATTAACTAGGAAATGCTAAGTTGCTGCGCTTTGCCGCAACACCAACCTCCCGCACTGCACCCGGTCCTCTCGGTCAAGGTCCTCACAGAAGATTAGGATAACCTTTACACAGTACTTACTGACATTTGTTGGAGCGAACAGCACATTCTGTCCAAGTTCCTTCGCCACGTCTGCACCTTTTGACGACGGCAAATCAAGTATAGCGACGTTAGCCCCCGCCTTGACAAGAGTTTCCACGGTGCCACGGCCTAGTCCAGAAGCACCTCCTGTTACCACGGCAACCAATCCCTGAACAGAACGTATTTTGCGTTCGCATAGGTTACTGCACAATAGTATGGATACAAACCTTTGTCGAACGAAGAATCGACGCCATTATGTAACCCTGGAACAAAGAGTTTATTTCTTACAGCTTTCGACTTCATGGAGATTCAAGAATAAATGTTCGCATCAATTACA